GTATACGGCTCTTTCCTTCCTACCCTCGTGCTGACCAAGGACACAACTCATGGATGCTTCCATTACTGACAGATACATCAGGAGAGGTCGACAGGCGTTGGCGGTGCCTGGATGGGAGGATTGAGTAGATATTTCTTAACTTTGTCAAACGCCTTTTGGCAATCCTCGTTCCTTGTGTCTATCTTTTCTGAAAGGCGGGGTATTCTTTCTGAGCAGTTTAAAGATCGGCTCACAGATGGGTGTGAGCTGGGCAATGAACCTGCTGATGTATTGTAGCCTGCCCCAAAAAGCCCTGATTTCTTTCTCTGTCTTTGGTACCGGCATGTCGATAATTGCTTTGCCTTTTGCAGGTCGACTTCGATTTCTCTTCTGCTGACAATGAACCCGAGTAGCTTACCTGACAAAGCACCAAACCCCCTCCCGGCTTTCTTTTTCGGATGAAGACGAAGACTGTATTTCCGAAATCTGTCAAACACTTTCTTCAAATTCACCGTCTTCTTAAGCCCAAGACTTGGCGATCATGTCATCGACATAGACCTCCATTTCCTTGTGAATCATATCATGAAACAGCGCAGTCATGGCTCGCTGGTACGTCGCCCCGGTATTCTTTAGACCAAACGGCCTCCCCTTGTAACAGACCGTGCCCTCCTATCCGATATTGTGATAAACGCTCTGTCTTCCTCGGCCATCTTGATCTGGTTATATCAAGAGAAAGCATCCATAAAGGACAGCATCCCATGTCCAGCGGTGTTGTCCACCAGAACATCGATGTGAGGAAGAGGAAAAAAAGATTTTCGGCTTGCCGGGTCTTTTGACTCACGGAACCAGCTTTCTGAGGGAAAAACCGTTCTCGAAAAGCGTGACCATCCAGTTGAATCTCGTTACCCTCCCGGGGGCGCGCCCACTTTCCACTATTATGGAGCCGGGCCGCAAGCAAGTGAATGTGACCCCGCCCTCCATCAGCCGTTGTGTGTGAGCTTCGCTCCTTATAGCTCTACACCGCCGCCCCGGCCACTTTCGCTCCTCTACCATATGATTCATTCTTTGGAAGTTAGGCACGTGACTCGATAGCGCAGGCACAAGACCTTTGAATGCAAACAAAGAATAGCGAGACCGCATATAGTTTGGAACCCAAGCTTACCTTATTATTATGAAAAGGGGAAGGTTTGATAAAGGAGCTTTTTAGCCCTTTTGCTGAGGTCCGCGGCCCCGCCCTGAATAAGGAGAGGCCTATTGATGAC